GGCACAAGGGCATCTGCTTCATGGAGGAAATGCCAGATAGGGCGCTGGGCCTGAGTGTGCTTGGGGCGAGGGAAGGGCCAGAAGCTGGCCGGAATTGCTGAAGCTGGCTGATGGGCATGTGGAGTTTGTTAGGTCCTCTCTGCTTTTGTGAGTTTGAGACTTTGCATTAAAAAAGAGGCCCCATAGCTCTTACTGTCCTATTGCACCTTCCATCACAGGAATTGGTCAGACTTCGCTACTATCCATCAAAGTCTTTCTCCCTGTTTTAGCTGGGTTGCAAGAGCAAAATGCCACAGGCTGAGTGGCTTAAACAGCAGAACATCTTCCTCACGGTTTTGGAGGCTGGAGGTCCAAGTTCACGGTGCCAGGAGGGTTGATGTTCTCTCTCTGGGTTGCAGGTGGCCACCTTCTCACTGTGTCCTCACATGGCCTTCACAATGTACAGCTGTGGACAGAGAGAGAGAGGTCTGGTTTCTCTTCCTCTTAATGATCTCTCAAATACAGTCACATTGTGGTTTAGGGATTCAGCCTATGACTTTTGGGGGGGATATTCAGTCCATAGCACTCATCTACTTCCAGAAGAATAAGATTGTGCTGGGCACATCACTGCCCTGTTAGATGCCATCGCTCAGCCCTCCCTGCAGGTAGATGGGGCCAGGTGGCTAAGTTACTGCCAATGAGACGTGAGCAGCAGTGGTGTGTGCCCCTTCAGACGGTGGGCGGAGCATTCTCCCTCCCCCAACCCCCCGACCTTCTTGCAATCCACCCTTGACCATGAAGACAATGGCGAGGCCCTTTGGGGGCAGACGCCACGCTGGAAGGAATCTGGGTCCCTGAGTAACCCCGCAGAGCATGGCTGCCTGGCCCCTGGACTGTATAAGAAATAAAATTCCTTCTGTGCTAGTGGATTTTGGTTGGGTTTCTTTGTTAGAGTAGCTGAGCCTTCCCCCAAAGCACTGGCTCTTGACCGGGGGACATTTTGACTGTCACGGCTTGGGGTGGGGTCTAAGAGCAGCTAGTGGGGGAGGCCCGGGATGTTGCTGGCCATCCTACAAGCACAGGAGAGGCGCCCCTCCCAGCAAAGACTTATTGGTCCCAAACTCTCAGTAGTCCCAAGGTTGAAATTTGTTATCAAAGATTTATCTAAAGTATTGCAACATACTGAAAGAAAAAGCATGGATGAAAAATACTCTCTGCCGTATCAGTAAACAAAGGATGTTGCAGCCATCAAGCTGGCAGCTACTGCAGACACCCCTGACGGTGCACCCTGAGGGGATTCAGGAGGGAGAGAAGCGGGATCCTGGCCCTAGATAGTTAAGGTGCACATCAGAGGAATGATTTCAGTGAGCCCAGACTCTTGAATTTTCCCATACTTAAAGTGTTAACTCCATTAACTTGAGGTGTCTGTTTTCTTTAATTAACAGTACTCTTTTGATGTTCCGACTGTGCCGTTTTTGTTGCAAAAACTCTCAGATCCTGGTTCCTCTCTTACCTCCTCAGAGCAGTCGCTCAGAAAGTCTGACAAATAAAGTTGAATTCTCAACTTTTAGGTTGTGCGTTTTTTTTCAGTCGACAATAGTTAGGGAATCATCTCTCATTTTTGCAGTTTCTAAAACGGTCTTTGTAAGAGAATTCATCACTATCTGGGAGGAGTTATTTTCATTATATGATACAGGAAGACCACTACCCTTCATAATAAAGAATTTTGTTTTTAGATGAAAGGCATGAAGGCCAATTTCCACATAGATAACAGTAAAGGACATAAAATGATAGAAGAACTACAAACAGCCAACAAATGTGTGAAAATCTGTTTAGCCTCACTTGAAATCAAAGAAACACAAAACACTGAGGTTTTTTTTTCCCCCTATCATGTTAAGCAAAGATAATAAAGCCTGGTGAAATCTAGGGTTAACAAAAGTAGAAACATACTCACTGGAGTGTCATATACGTATAACCTTCCCCTCAGGCAATGCATTTGGAAATAGCAGCACTTAGAACACACCCTTTGAGCTAGCAATACAATTTCTAAGAATCTATCTTGAAGAACTATTAAGACGGGACTTTCCTGGTGGTGCAGTGGTTAAGACTCCACGCTCCCAATGCAGGGGTCCCGGGTTCAATCCCTGGTCAGGAAACTAGATCTTGCACGCTGCAACAAAGAACCTGCATGCCGCAACTAAGAAGCGGCGCCGCCAAATAAATATTTTTTTAAAAAGGAACTAATAAGACAACGTGGTAGATTAAGATGGCCACAACTGTGCTACTCCTCCCACTGAGAGGTGGGGGTCTACTTTCCCCTCCCCTCGAGTCTGGGTTGGCCCCAGACTCAACCAATGGAATGTAGTGAGGTGATGTCCTGGGATGACCAAGGTGAGGTCACAAGAGTCTGGCAGCTTCCACCAGGGCCTCCTGGAAATCTCCAGAAGCCCTGAGCAGCCACATAAGAAGCACAACTGGGCTGGAGAGGCAATGTGTAGGTGTTCTGGTCCCTGGTACCAGTTGAATGCAGCCTTCCAGCCACACCAGTGATCTCTACCATATCACACAGAACAGAAGAATCATCTAACTGAGCCTTGCTGGAATGCCTGACCTACAAAAATTGTGAGCTCTAATAAAATGCTTCTTTTAAACCACAGAGTTTTCAGGTATTTTATTATGCAGCAGTAGATAACTGGAACATATACATACAGGTGTATGAACAAATGTTCACCAGAGCACTATTTATGGTAATGAAAGATTGGGAACAATCAAAATATTGTTCATCTATTAGGAGTCTGTTAAAGTATGGTACACTAACACTGTGAAATATATCTAATAAACAGAATGACATAAAATTGAGTAAAACATGGCCAGAATTTGTGAAGAGTATTGTTAAAAATGTAAATGGTAGAAAAGTGGATAGTGTGACACCAATTAAGAAAACCAACAGCTCAATTTAGAAACTGGGCAAAAGATCTGAACAGACACCTCACCAAAGAGATGTACAGGTAGCAAATATGCATGTGAAAAGGTGCCCAACATCACTTGTCATTAGGGAATTGGAAATAAAATGAGATACCTCTACATGTCTATTAGCATGGCCAAAATCCCAAACAATGACAACATGAAATGCTGGCAAGGATGTGGAGCAACAGGAACTCTCATTCATTGCTGGTGGAAATGCAAAATAGTACAGCTCATTCTGGAAGACAGTTTGGTGGATTCTTTCTTTTTTTTAAATAATTTTTATTTTTGGCTGCATTGGGTCTTTGTTGCTATGCTTGGGCTTTTCTCTAGTTGTGGCAAGCGGGGGCTACTCTTTGTTGTGGTGCACGGACTTCTCGTTGCGGTGGCTTCTCTTGTTGCGGATCATTGGCTCTAGGTGAGCAGGCTTCAGTAGTTGTGGCTCGCGGGCCCTAGAGCGCAGGCTCAGTAGTTGTGGCACAGAGGCTTAGTTGCTCTGCGGCATGTGGGATCTTCCTGGACCAGGGCTCGAACCTGTGTCCCCTGCATTGGCAGGTGCCTCCAGGGAAGTCCCAGTTTGGCAGTTTCTTACAAAACTAAACATAATCTTACAGTGTGACCCAGCAATTACAGTTCTTGGTATTCACCCAAAGGAGTTTAAAAAAATGTCCACACGAAAACCAAAACATGAATGATTATAGCAGCTTTATTCATAATTGACAAAACTTGGATGCAACCAACATGTCTTCAGTAGGTTAATGGAGGGACTTCCCTGGTGGTCCAGTGGTTAAGACTCTGTGCTTCCACCGCAGGGGGCACGGGTTCAATCCCTGGGTGGGGAACTAAGATCCCGTGTGCTGCGCGGTATGGCCAAAAATAGGTAACTTAATAATAGGTGAATGGATAAATTGTGGAACATATAGACAATGAAATATTCTTTAGCATTAAGAAGAAATGAGCCATCCAGCCACGAAAAGGAATGGAGGAAACTTAAAATGCTTACTACTAAGTGAAAGAAGCCAATCTGAAAGGGCTACATACTGTATGATCTCAACTATATGACATTCTGGAAAATGCAGAACTAGAGACAGTGAAAAGATCAGTATTTGCCAGGGGTTCGGGGGCAGGGAGAGGGATGAATAGAAGCAGAGGATTTTTAGGGCAGTGCAGCTATTCTGTATGATACTGTAATGGTGGATACTTAACATAATTGTACAACACAGAATGATTCGTAATGTAAACCATGGAATTTAGTTAATAATAATGTATCAGTATTGCTTCATCAATTTTAATAAATGTACCCCACCGATGGAAACTGTTTATAATGAAGGAAACCGTGTGTATGTGTGGAGGGGGTGTATAAGAACTCTATATTTCCTTCTCGATTTTTCTGAAAACCAAAAACTGCTCTAAAGTCTATTAATAAAAACACTTATCTACTTAAAACAATAAAAAGGTGGGTAGTGCGCAATTATGTACGCGAGCGCGCGTGTGTGCATTTTCACATCAAGCATTAAATGGGGCCAGAAAGGTTGCACCGAAACTGCTATCATTTAGATTGAAAGGTGAGCAAGATAATCACAGTCCTTTAACTTCGGGAGGTTGGGAAACTGTAAATTCCTGTACAGTTTGAATTTCTACAATGAAGATAAAATTGGCAAAACAATGAACGTGTTTCCACTCTTAAATATCTGCCTGGGGTTTAGTGAAGAGTTCACGGAGGAGAGTGTACCTTTAAACGTGCATTCTCAGTGATGGACGACTGCCCCCGCCGACCCCCGGAATCGCAGGAGTCTGGGTCCGCGGGGCCCCGGAGGCCGCTCCTCCTCGGGGTCGGGACGCGCTCCACCTCCCCGCGACCAAACACCTGCTCCGCCCGCCCCGCCGGGACCGCCCAGCTCCCGCGCGACACCTCGCGCGGCCCCGACCGGAAGCCGTGGGGCGGGTTCAGACGGCGCCCCGCCCCTGAAGGCGACCAATCAGCGCGCGGGGCTCATTAATAGTGACCACGCCGGCCCCGCCTCCGCCTCTCGCGGGGCCACCGCCCGCGCAGACCCAGAGCGCGGCCGCGGACGAAGATGGCGACCGCCATGTACTTGGAGCACTACCTGGACAGTAAGCGCCCCCCGCGCCCCCTAGGCCCACCGCCCTGGCCGGGCCGCCCCCACCGCGCGCCCCCCCCCCCCCCCCCAGTTGGCCCCCCCCTGCCGCTTCAAGGGCAGAAGGAGTAGCCTCCTACGTGTGTGAGGAGTGGAAACCTACCTCTTCCTGAGCCTGTCCTACCAGGTTGCCAGAAGCCCTCCTAGAATCAGTGTGCCATGTGATACGGTGGGGACAGGCAAGGGCTGGCCTGCCTTCCATGCCTGTAACCCTACACTACCAAAGCCTCCACAGGCTGCATGTATTTCCTGAAGTTGGTAGAAATGGGGGAGGATTGTGGGGCAGGATGGCGTTTGGCCTTGATGAACTCCAGGAGGCCAGGGCAGCTCAAGGCCAAGAGGAGAATCCTGTAGAGACCTGGCTGGGTTCCCTGGCTCCAACTCTATCTTTAGACTCTGGGTCACCCTCTGTGGCCCTTCAGTATTCCTTCTCCCATTCTTACACAGTAATAGAATTTTTACTTGGGCACATGGCTGCCTAGCCAAAGACTACATTTCCCAGACTCTCTTGCAGCTAGGTGTGGCTACATGACTAATTTCTGGCCAATGAGATATGAGCAGAAGATCCTGATGCAACATCCGGGTCATGCCTTTAAAAGAAGGGTGCAAATGTGATGGCAGGAGCTGGAGCATCCATTTTGGACCATATGAAGCTATATGTTGATGGTAGCAGAGCAGCAAGGTAGAAGACGCCTGACTTTCCACCACCACTGAGCTGCCATGTTAACTCTATATCATCTACTCGGACTTTTACATGAGAGAGAAATAAAATTGTTTCTTGTTTAAGCCACTATATTTTGGGGTCTCTCTTTTTTAATAGCAGCCTAACATGTGTCCTAACTAAAGTAACTCCTCAGAGAAGTCTTACATGAGCTACTCCCAGCCTAGGCATCCCCAACACTTTTCAGATGAGAAACCCATGATCCAAGGTCACATTTACAGTTAATTTATAATGGAGCTGAGGCTTGGAGCCAAGTTCCAGCATTGGCCTGGATGAAGCCCAAGGTTCTTTACATTTCTGACATTCTAGGATTCTCTGAGACCACCAAGGGGTATAGCAGGCACTGGGGAACTCTGGCTTACTGGAGACTTTTACACTCAATCTTATCTGATACAATGGTCCTTCCCACCCTCCACCTCTCCAGCCATACTGATCTTTAGTTTCTCTAACCAGCCATGCTCCATCTTAACCCGCCGTCACGGCCGCGCCAATTCCAGGTGCGTCACGGCGGGGCGGGGGCCGGCGGGTGCTGGGCGGGGTCAGCGCGGCTCGGCTCCACCCTCCCAGGCTCAGCCTCGCCCACTTTCTCCATAGGCCCCACTCTCTCCTCCCTAGGACCCGTCTTTCTTGGCTGGGCCCCGCCCCTCATTCGCTAGGCCTCGCCAACTTCGTCGTCGGCCCCGCCCTCTCCGCCCTGGCCCCGCCCTCTATGTCTAGGCCCCGCCCCCGAGTCCCGTCCCGCCCATTCCCGGACCCGCCCCCACCGCGGTGACCCCCTAAGGTGGTCGAGTCTCAGTCCCCTGGGACTCTGGGCCGGGTTTGGGGGGCCCAGGGCCTGAGGGTTCTGGGTTCTGTGCCTGCGTGTGCTGTGACCCGGGAGTCCGCTTCCAAGCCTCAGTTCGTGCATCTGCAAGGCATGATGGCGCAGGGGGTCTCTGAGAGCACCTGTCTTTGCGCAGGGGGTTGGGGGCGGTACTTAGACGTGTGGGTAGGGTGTTCAAGGCAGTGGTCATCACAGTGGGCCAACGTCCCGAGGCGTCCCACAGGTTGCACCCTCTGGAGGACTCCTGAGCAGGTGGTTATTTGCCGCATTTCACAGCGGGGGTGATGCTGCGTCAGAGGCTAAGTAGCTTGTCCAGGTCGCTCACTGGAGAGTGGCGATCCCACGTTTGAGCTCTGCGGTCCGACTCCAGTCTGGCCCTGGCGGGGGCATAGCCTGGGGATGCGGGCTGGTGGGGATTTTGCCTGGTAGCTCTGGAGCCCTGTGCTGCACTGGGGATTTTCACTCATCTGGGCCTGGGCGCCCAGACCCCCACCCGAGGTTGCTGAGAGTAGGGAGTGAACCCCGGCTCCGGGGAAGGCAGTGGGGATCCAGCCCTCCCCAAGGGGGTCTCCCAGGCATGGCCCAACCTGAGCACAGCGTCCTGGGCCAGAGAGCACTGTGGAGGGAGGGGCTTCCCCACCATCGTCACTGGAGAGACCTACACCCAGGTGCCTGTTCTGGGTGCTGTGGCTTGCCCTCCCCTGACCCGGTGCCTGCCCAGGGGGCCCCAGGAGGAGGGTCTGAGGAACACGATTCCTGTCCTGTGAGGGACACCCATGTGAAGGCTTGTGGACGGAGGCCCCTGCTCACTCCCTGAGCACCTGCTGTGTGCCAAGAAAGCAGACATGATCCCTGTTTTCCTGGAACTGGCTCTCAAATGGGAGAGATAGAGTTTTTAAAAGTTCACAGAAGTTTAAAGGTCACGAAGGAGCCCAGCAGGTCTGAGAGTGCAGGGGTGGCACTGTCTTGAGAGCCCTGGTAGGACAGCAGGGGAGCCCACGGGGAGGCCATGGGTGGGTCTTTGCCGCTCTCTGCGTGAGCTGGGAAGCACTGGGGCTTACGCAGCAGCTTTGTACAATCAGAGCTCTTGGAGCGGTCATCTGTGGAGGGGGCCCGTCCTGGCTGCGGGCAGGTGGGGAGCTTGGCCTGGACCAGAAGCCTGGCCGTGCGGACAGGAGAGCAGTGTGGGGCAGGGTCCTTACCTCTGCTGTCCCGCACGGTCTGTTTGATTTTAAATAAACTCAAGTAAAATGAGAAGTTCAGTCCCTCAGTTGTACTGGCCCCATTTCAGGTGCTCAGTAGCCCCGTGTGGCCAGTGCGTGCTGTGTGGGGAAGCTGTCTTGGCATAAAGTTCTACCGCACAGTCCTGGTGGGCACCGCCCCATGCCCTGAGTTCAGAGTAGAGCGGGAGGAGAGGGGTTGGGCTTGTTCTCTGGCGGGGCGTCTGCAGGGGGGGAGTGGCCTGGGGTCTGCGGTAGGGGAGTCGCACAGGCATCTTCCTCCCTCTGCCCTCTGTTCGCCTCTAGCTTCTCGAGTTCTGACAAGTTCTGAAGCACGTCAGCCGATCACCAGTGTGAAATGGGGGAGGCCTGGAGTCCCCACTGCCTTCAGTGTTGGGCTCGTGTTCCTGAAAAAAGATACCTTGATTCTTCTTCTCTCCAAACCCTAACAGAAACAGAAGCCAGAGTTGGGCTTATTGTTTGTAGCCCTGAAGTATGAAGCTTGGAAGGCGGGGTTTTGTCCTGCTGTTGAGAAGCATGTGTCTGTGTTTCAGGTATCGAGAACCTACCCTGTGAGCTTCAGAGGAACTTCCAGCTGATGCGAGAGCTGGACCAGAGGACAGAAGGTGGGTTCAGACCGTTCAGAACAGCCAGGGTATGGGGAGCAGCTCCCCAAGTCCAGGAGCGGAGCACTGGGATCCTGGGGATGGCGCACTGGTCTTCCAGGGACCTGGGGCAGTGGGGCTGCTGTCCAGCCTGGGCCGCAGGTGTTGGGTAGTGTGTCAGAGAGAGGGCTGAGTCTTTTTTTTTTAATTTATTTTTGGCTGCGTTGGGTCTTCGTTGCTGTGCACGGGCTTCTCTCTAGTTATGGAGAGCAGGGGCTGCTCTTCGTTGCGGTGCGCGGGCTTCTCATTGCGGTGGCTTCTCTTGTTGTGGAGCACGGGCTCTAGGCACACGGGCTTCAGTAGTTGTGGCTTGCAGGCTCTAGAGCGCAGGCTTAGTAGTTGTGGCACATGGGCTCTGTTGCTCCATGGCGTGTGGGATCTTCCTGGACCAGGGCTCAAACCCCTGTCCCCTGCACTGGCAGGTGGATTCCTCACCACTGCACCACGAGGGAAGCCCCTAGTGCTGAGTCTTTAAAGTAAACTTAGTCCCTTGTGTCTGACCTGTCCCTGACACGTCTCCATGTCACATCTTTATAATCGTCATCCCCTCCTGCAGTCAAAATATTTGTTAACCTTTTCTTTCCTTTAAAAGATTTTCTGTTTTCAAACTATGTGTACCTATTTTAAACAGTTAGTCCTTTTAGATCTTTTGGTATTTAACTCCCTATTTCTAAACAGTTCATTTTTGCTGCTATTTCTTTATTTCCTTTTGGCTTTAGACTTTATCTATTCAGTTATTACAAAAAGTGAAGATTTACATCTCCAGTTGTGCCCTGCTTGGTTCATGCGCACACAGCTCCCTCCCCCCGTCTCCTGGGTGTAATGGACTAGAATTTGAACTGTGGTGATGCTGTGCTGTCCAGTGATGCTGTTTCTTTCCTGGGCTGCTGTGTCGGTAGTTTACCATATGCTATGCTCACATGCCCTATTTGGAGTAACTGTCTTTTTCTTGGAGTTCTTAATTGCTTTGCTTGTTGGTTTTGTTTTCCTCGTTTTTAGTGTGCCTGCGGCACCAGGTTACCTGCCAGTCCTGTGTGTGCTCTCCATGGAGACCCCTCTCCTGGAGCCTCTGTCCTGCGGTCGCGTCCGGGCTGACAGTCTCCGGGCCTGCCGCGCACGCCTTGCCCTAGGTCTCCCTCGGCTCTCCCTTTGCTCGTCTTCGGCACACAGAGCCCCGTGTCTCCTAGGCTGTAGACATACTACTTCTCGATTCGCCCGTTTGCTTCAGAGGAGCCTTTTCTCTGGGAGCTTTTCCAGAAAGAAATTCAGGGCAGGGTAAATTTCTTATACCGTCGCATGTCTGAAAATGCAGCAGTGAATGGTTTGGCTGGGTATAGAATTCTAGATTGACAGGCATTTCCCCCAGAATGTGGCAGGCGTTGCTGCATTGTCTCCTAGCTTCTGTGTTGCTGTTGAGAAGTCTGATGTCATTTGGGTTTCTCATCCTCTGAACATGCGATCTTTTTTTCCCTTTCCTGTTTAGAAGCTTTTAGGCTTTTCTCTTTATCCCTGAGGTTTTACATTTCATGGTGATGTGCTTGGGTATGGGCACTTTTTCACTCATTGTGCTGGGCATGTGTTTTGCAAGTTTGGAATAGCTGTGGTTTTTCACTAAGGAACAGCTTCCTGACTAGTGAATGCAGGCATTTCTTTTATGGTGAGATAAAGCATTTGTATTCAGAAATAAGCATAAACATTTGTAGATTGCTTAGCAAACAGCACCCGGAGAACCTCTCTGCAGATGGAGAAATGGAGCCTCTAGTGCCTGGGGGCCTGTGTGATCCTCATGAGCAGGCCCCTGTTCCCCAAGGCGTACACCCTGAGTTTTCACCTGCAAGAATGGTTTTCTCACCTCTAAACCAAAGAGTTAAGAGTGGTGTCTGTCTTTGCCTTTAACATCAATGGAATCATACAGTGTGTTTTCCTTTGTGTCTTGCTTTTCTCGCTCAGTGCCACCTTTTGTGGGATTAACCGATGTTGTTTGTTTTTTTTTGTTGCTGGGTAGCATTCTGTTGTGTGAACGGACCACAGCTTATTTATCTGTTTTACTGTAGATTGGGCGTTTGGGTTGTTTTCTGTTATCTGCAGTTATGAATGTTTTCCCATGTGTACCCTGGCCTCTAAATCTTTAGGGTTTGTACCCGAGAGTAGCCTGCCGGGTCATAGGTAAGGTGAGCACGTCATTTATTATTCAAACAATAATAAATGGACTCTTCAAACTTGAGAGTCCAAGAGGGCACCATGAACCCTTGCTGGGGCAGCGTCATATGTTGGGACTGTCGTGGGTGCACTGCCCTGGTCGGGGTGTCTGCTTATCTCCCTGATCCAAAGTGTTTGGGAAGGCTGTGCCCGCCACCTGTGGCCAGTTTGGGCCAGCCACTTTGCTGGCACTTGTCGTTGCCAGGCTTTATTGGTTGCCAGTCTGGTGAGCATGTCCTGGCTTTTCGCCCATTACTCTATCAGACAAGAAAGCTGAGATAGACATCCTGGCTGCAGAGTATATCTCCACGGTGAAGACTCTGTCTCCGGGTCAGCGTGTGGAGCACCTGCAGAGGATCCAGAGCGCCTACAGCAAGTGCAGGGAGTACAGCGACGACAAGGTGCAGCTGGCCATGCAGACCTACGAGATGGTGAGGGGCGGGGCGGGGGCGGGGGTGGGGCCTCCCCCCCCTCGGAAGCGCTCCTTGCTTTCACGCAGCAAGGGGGAGGCTGCTCAGAAACAGGGCGTCGAGGTGGAGGCCGGGCTTCGATAGACCCATGCCGCTAGAGAAAGTGCACGTTGGAGGAGTCCTCATCCTGGGACCATTTCTGTGGTCTTGTGTCCTGTGCCCGTTTTGCTTGTTCATTTATATGTACTTTTAGTGCTTGTTTTTGTCAGCTTTAGGTAAAGTCCTAGAATTGGTTTTGTCCAATTTCCTTTCACTTCCGCTTCTCATGGGGTTTGCAAGGTGGCACAAAGCCGTTCTGCGACGCACGTGAGGTCGTTTAGTGAGGCTCCCGTCCTTGCCTCCCCCAATAAAACAGTGATTTTTTTAATTAATTTATTTTTTTTTGCGGTACGCGGGCCTCTCACTGCCGTGGCCTCTCCTGTTGCGGAGCACAGGCGCTGGATGCGCAGGCTCAGCGGCCATGGCTCACGGGCCCAGCCGCTCCACGGCATGTGGGATCTTCCTGGACCGGGGCACGAACCAGTGTCCCCTGCATCGGCAGGCGGACTCTCAACCACTGCACCACCAGGGAAGCCCTAAACAGTGATTCTTTAAAAGCCTGAAATCAGCTGTGTTTGAGAAAGAATCCTCTAGGAGGAGACCTTAATGCTTATGTTTGGGACTTTGATGCTCCAAAGTGCTAAATCCTTTGAGTAATCAGCCTGTCTTCCAAGGAGTTAGGTGTGATCAACGTCCTTAAGACAGTCCGTTTTCTCTCTGACGTGTAATGAAGCTTAGGACTGTGGTTCATTTCCAGTCGGGGGCCTTGATGGATGGTGTTGGACGGCTGTCAGCAGCCAGCTTGTGCTGTATCTCGTGACGTCCTTTTAGCTACAGGAGCATCCCCTCTGTCACGGGCAGTTGTTCTGTGCGGTCCTTCCTTCCAGCTCCGTCCTGAACTCCATCTTCAAATGTCATTTTCTGTTGACGAACCTATAGCTCTTCACATTTTACGTCAGGATCTAGTATCCAAGGTCCTCAGCCCTTTACTTCATTGCATCTTATGGCTCTGTTTCTCATTGTTGCCTGCCTTCAAGGTTTTTTCCCTGAGTAGGATTTATTCTGTTGATGGGGAACAGAATGTGGGGAAAAAAGACCCTTGCATCAAGTTGGAAATAGCAGGCCTTGTTTAAGGGCCAGACAGTGCTTTCTGCTTGACGTCAGGAGCATTTGTGACCCTGAGGCGTTTTGCTCTGAGTTTCGAACGGAATGTGTGAGCATCCTTCTGTGTAGGTGGATAAGCACATCCGGAGGCTTGATGCGGACCTGGCTCGCTTCGAGGCGGACCTGAAGGACAAGATGGAGGGCAGCGACTTCGAAAGCTCTGGAGGACGGGGGCTAAAAAGCAAGTCTGCTCATTTTTCTTCATTTTGTTATTGTTAACTATGGAGTTTTGAAGAATTTTGCCTGATAAGTGTATTAGGAACATTATGGTAAATATCATATTGGGGTAGATCTTGTCCTGCTTCAGTGAAATCTGTGAACAGAGTTGTGGTCTTTATTGTTTCAGAAGGTCGAGGTCAGAAGGAAAAGAGGGGCTCCCGGGGTCGTGGCAGGAGGACCTCCGAAGAAGACACCCCAAAGAGGAAGAAGCATAAGGGAGGGTGAGGCGCTTTTTTCTCTCTTTCACTGCACAGCACCATTGGTGTTTGCTCTGGACGGAGACACCGCTGACCGCTGAGGAAGTGCTCGCCTGTGCCAGGTGTGCTGCGGCTCTCCCTGCGTTGCCCGTGTCGGGTCAGTTGGTCCTCACGGCAACGTGAGGGAGCAGTGTGGGCAGTCGTGGAGACTGAGGCTTCAGAGCTCCTGGGTGTGCGCCAGGCGGTCTGACTCCAGAACCCATTCTCTTAGCCACTGCGTACCCTGCCTCTTAAGAGACACGGTGATGTTTGGTGCGGTTCAAGCTAAGCCACTTCCTAGTAGTTGAATACACATCTGTTGATCATTTTATATATAAATACGTGTTTTAGATGCATTCATTTTTAAATTGTGTGACTGTATTTATTAAATATCCACGTCATTTAGCTTGAACTCCAGGATATTTCATACAAAGCACTCTCTCACTTGCTCCCCTACCTGCCAAGATGGCTTCGTGGACTATGAACGTGATGCTTCACCCTCCAAGATGGTGTAACATTGCTTCACAGGAGATGCTGAAATGCCAAGTGGCTTCTGTGGAGATGATTCTGACAGTTATGGGGAGAGCTCAGAAGAGTTAGTTTTCGACAAAAGAAAAGTTTTGGTTCTTAAACCTGGTGTTTAAACTTTTATCTTTAAAAAAAACAAACCCAAATAGTGTCTTTGTATTGTAAAGTAATGCACAGATGCAGAAGACCACACAACAAACGTGTGGCTTAACGAATTACTGTAAGAGTCACCTCCTTGTAGTCATTGCCTGGCCGGTGACTAACGCCCCCTGGGGGGCCCTTCCCTGTGCCCTGTCAGAATCACCACTTCCTCAGCCCCAGACACACACGACCCACACAGACAGGGTGTTCACTCCCATTCTTTCTTTGTAGTTTTGTCCCTGACACAGTGCACTCCTGGACCCTATAGTTTAGTCTTGTTGCTTTTTTTTTTAAGCTTTTAGATTAACTTCATTAAGGAATAATTTACATAACAATAAGATGTGCTCATTTTAAGTATACAGTTTGATGCTGTATTCAACTTCTTTAAAGTTATAGAACTAGTCAGCCTCTCTATTTCTTCTTGAGTCAGTTTTGGTAATCTACACCTTTCAAGGAATTTGTTGTTTCATATAAGTTGTCACATTTATTGACATCAAGTTATTCATAATATTACTTTATTATTTTTCTGATGTTGTAGGTTCTGTGCTGATGCTCACTCTTTTAGACCTGAAATTGATGATTTATGTCTTCTCTCATTTTGCCTTGATCTTTTCAGAAAACTAGCTTTTGGTTTCATCGATTTTTTTTCTCTACTGTTTGTCTTCTATTGCACTTATTTCTGCTAATATCCTTTATTCTTTCTGTCCTCCTACTTAGCCTGGATTTACTTTGCTTTTCTTTTTCCAGCTTTTTATGCTAGAAGTAGCTTAGTATGATTTTCGTGCTTCCCTTCTTTTCTAATGTAAATGTTTAAAGCTATAAACTTTCTTCCAATTACTGTTTTAGCTGCGTCACACAAATTTTGATGTGTTATGTTCTTATTTTTATTCCATTCAGAATATTCAAAATTTTCTTTTGTGATTTTTCTTTGACCCGTAGCTTATGTAGAAGTGTGTTTCTCAGCTTCCAGGTCGTTTGAGGTTTTCCAGGGAACTTTCTGACTTCAGTTTCTAATCTAATTTTGCTGTGATCAGAGAACTTCTGTAATTGAGATTATCTGAAAGTGATTAAGTTTTGGGTTATGGTTTATGGTCTGTTTTTCTGAGTGTTCCATATATACTTGAAAGCAATGTGCATCTTACTGTTGTTGGGTAGATGTCAATTATATAACTTGGTTGACAGCACTGTTCAAGTTTGATGTATCCTGACAGATACTCTGTTTACTTGTATAAATTACTGAGAGAAGAGTGTTGAGATCACCAACTCTAGACATGGATTTATCTATTTCTCCTCCTGCTCTGTGAGTTTCTGCTTCATATATTTTGAAGCTCTGTTATTTGGAGGTACATACACATTTAGGTTTTTTAAAAATAATTGACTCCTTTATCATTATTTATTTTGTTGTCCTTCATAATATTCTTTGTTTTGAAGTCTGTTTTGTCTAATATTACTATAGTCATTCCAGGTGTCTTACAGTGAGTTTTTACATGGTGTGGTTTTTCCCTTTTTCATTCTTTTACTTTCACCACATGTGTGTTTTTGTATTTAGAGTGAGTTTCTTGAAAGTAGCAAATAATTGAGTGTTGCTTTTTTATCTAGTCTGAAAATGTCCTTCTTTTCGTTGCACTATTTAGACTATTCAGATTTAATGTAATTAGTGATGCGGTTGGATTTAAATGGACTCTCTTGCCATTAGTGTCTCCTTGTCCCATCTGTCCTTTTCCTGTCTTCTTTTGGATTAATCGTGTATTTTTTCAGTATTCCATTTTTTTTAAGTGGGGTCAGTGGTATCTCAAAGAAGTCTTAGTTTTCATTTTATTTATTTATTTATTTTTTGTTTTTCGTTTGTTTGTTTTTTGGCTGCGCAGCATGACTTGTGGGATCTTAGTTCCCTGATCTAACCAGGTCCCTGACAGTGAAAGTGCTCTGTCCTAACCACTGGACCACCAGGGAATTTCTTCAGTATTCCATTTTAAGGACTATTCAAGTGTGTATACTCTGTTTCATTAGCTTACCATAAAGAATTTCAAATAATATTGTACTATTTCATGTTTAATGTAAGAGCCTACAGGAGTTTTCTTTTGTTTTCTGCCTCCTGTCCTTTGTGCTGTTATCAAAAATTTTACTTCTACGTATGACATAAGTCTCTGAATCTATTGTTGTTATTGTTTTAGGTCTAAGTCATGGCTTGTCTTAAACATTTTAAAATATGAGAAAAAGTTTTATAGTTAGTCCATATATTTACCATTTCTAATGCCCTTCACTATATGTAGATGCAGATTTCCATCTGGTATCATTTCTTTTCTGCCTGAAGAACTTTCTTTAACATTTTTTTTTTTTTTTTTTTTTTTTGCAGTACACGGGTCTCTCACTGCTGTGGCCTCTCCCTTTGTGGAGCACAGGCTCCGGACACGCAGGCTCAGCAGCCATGGCTCACGGGCCCAGCCGCTCCGCGGCATGTGGGATCTTCCCAGACCGGGGCACAAACCCGTGTCCCCTGCATCGGCAGGTGGACTCTCAACCACTGCGCCACCGGTGAAGCCCTCTTTAACATTTTTGACAGTGCAAGTTTGCTGATGGTGATGAATTTTCTGTTTTTGTTTCTTTGAAAATATCTTTATTTCACTTCCATCTTTGAAGGATATTCTTGTTGGATATAATGTTTTAGGTTGACTTCATTTTTTCTTTCATCACTAAAGATGTCCTGTTGTTTTCCATCTTGCATTGATTCTGATGAGAAATTAGTGGTAATTCTTATGTTTGTTCTTCTGTATATAAGTGGCTTTATTTATTTTTGCTGCTTCTGAGGTTTCCATGTAGCAACTTGATTTTTAAAAAAATTTATTTGTTTTATTTATTTATTTTTGGCTGTGTTGGGTCTTCATTGCTGCATGGAGGCTTTCTCTAGTTGTGGTGAGTGGGGGCTGCTCTTCGTTGCGGTGCGCAGCTTCTTACTGTGGTGGCTTCCCTTGTTGAGCATGGGCACTAGGTGCACGGGCTTCAGTAGTTGCAGCACACAGGCTCAGTAGTTGTGGCTCGCAGGCTCTGGAGCGCAGGCTCAGTAGTTGTGGCACAGGGCTTAGTTGCTTTGCGGCATGTGGGATCTTCCTGGACCAGGGCTCGAACCCATGTCCCCTGCATTGGCAGGCAGATTCTCAACCACTGCTCCACCAGGGAAGTCCACAGCAACTTGATTTTTAACAACTTAATTATGATGTGTCCTCGTGTGTGTTTTTTGTGTATTTTCTGTTTGGAGCTCATTGAGCTTCTGGGAACTGTTAGTTTATAGTTTGCATCAAATTTGTAATTTTTCAGCCAGTTTTTCAAATTTTTTTTTCTGCTCTCTTTTGTCCTTTTTATGGGACTCCAATCATATATGTATGTTAGCTTGATATTTTCCTACAGGTCACTGAGGCTCTGCTTATTATTTTGTCAGAAATTTTCTTTCTACACTTCCATTTGGATAGTTTATCTTCAAGTCTTTTCTTCCTTGTTGTCTAATTTAATCTTAATCTCCTTTAGTGAATCTTTGATTTAAGAAATTTTCTTATCAGGAAATTCTGTTTCTTTTTTTCTATACTTGCCATTTCTGTTATTACACATATATTTTCCTTTATATCTTTGAATATATCATTTTACAACAGCTTTTTAAAAAGCTTTCTCTTCTTATTCTGTCATTTCCAGGTCTGTTTGGTTTTTTTTTGTTGTTTTAAAGCCGCTTTATTAAGGTATGACTGATATACAAAGAACAGTATATATTTAATGCATACATTTTGATGAGTTTGGCAGGTCTGTTTCTCTTGACTGCTTTTTCTCTGGTTGTAAATCACATTTTCCTCCTCCACATGTGTAGTAATTTTTTTTTTTTAATTAATTTATTTTTGGCTGCATTGGGTCTTCGTTGCTGCACACGGGCTTTCTCTGGTTGCGGCGAGCAGGGGCTACTCTTTGTTGTGGTGCATGGGCTTCTCATTGTGGTGGCTTCTCTTGTTGCGGAGCATGGGCTCTAGGCACACGAGCTTCAGTAGTTGTGGTGCGCAGGCTCAGTAGTTGTGGCGCATGGGCTTAGTTGCTCTGCAGCATGTGGCATCTTCCCGGACCAGGGCTTGAAGCCGTGTTCCCTGCATTGGCAGGCAGATTCTTAACCACTGTACCACCGGGGAAGTCCATCTAGCATTTTTTTAAAAACTTATTTATTTATTTTATTTTATTTTTGGCTGCGTTGGGTCTTTGTTGCTGCGCGTGGGCTTTCTCTAGTTGCTGCGAGCGGGGGCCACTCTTTGTTGTGGTACGTGGGCTTCTCATTGCGGTGGCTT